CCCCAGAGGACCAGTAGGAACCCCTGCCCACACCACATCTCCTGACCAGAGTTCTGCAGGGCTTCAGTTCTAGTGGAACTAGTATCAGATCTCATTTAAACCAGCAGACCAGAATACACCTAGTTAAAACCTGCCACATTCAGGCCAAGGACCAAACACTACCCACTGCATGCAAGGAGAGCCTCTGCAGAGGACTGGCCTGAAGGACAGAACAGCCAAAACACAACAGCAGCGCACATGCAGCACACACCAGACACCGCCTGAAGCGCCAGGCCCTGGACACTCACTATCTGACCTCTTCTTCATAAATCCATTATTCTCAGGAGAAGGAAACATAACGAACTTTTCTTATACACAGAAGAAGGTGGAGACTTAAGACAAAATGCCAAGACAGAGGAATTAATCCCAAACGAAAGAACAAGATAAAGTCACGGCCAGAGATCTAAGCAAAATAGATGTAATAGGCTTGATGGAGAATTTAAAGCAACAATCATAAGGATACCACTGGGCTTGAAAAAAGAACAGAAGACATCAGGGAGACCATTATAGCAGAGATAAAAGAGTTAAAAAAGAATCAGTCAGAAATGAAAAATACAACTGGGATTGGAAACAGACTTGATGCAATGAACACAAGGCTGGAAGAAGCAGAGGAACAAATAAGTGACATAGAAGGTAAAATAATGGAAAATAGTGAAGCTGAACAGAGAGGAAGAAGAATTATAAAATGTGAGACTAGACTTAGGGAATTCAGTGACTCCAACAAATGTAATCACATTCGTATTATAAGAGTCCCAGAAGAAGAGAGAGAAAAGGGGGCAGATAATTTTGTGAAAATCATTAACTGAAAACTTCCCTAATCTGGGTAAGGATACAGACATCCAGATCCAGGAGACACAGAGAACTCCCAACAAAATCAAAAAAAGCAGGTCAACACCAATACATATTGTAGTTAAATCTGCAAAATATAGAGATAAAGAAAAAATCTTAAAGGCAGCAAGACAAAAGAAGTCCTTAACTTACAAGGGAAAACCCATAAGGCTAGCTGCAGATCTCTCAACCGAAACTTGGCAAGCCAGAAGGGAGTGGCATGATACACTCGAAGTGCTGAATAGGAAAAACCTGCAGCCAAGAATACTCTATCCAGCAAGACTATCAGTCAGAATACAAGGAGAGATAAAGAGTTTCCCAGACAAACAAAAACTAAAGGGGTTCTTAACCACAAAACCTACCCTGCAAGAAATATTAAAGGGGACTCTTTGAGTGAAAAGGAAAGACCAAAAGTGACAAAGACAAGAAATGATCAGAGAAAATCCCCAGAAACAATGACAAAACAAGTAACAAAATGGCACTAAATACATATATATCAATAATTACTCTGAATGTAAATGGACTAAACACACCAACCAAAAGATACAGCATGTCAGAATGGATAGAAAAACAAGACCTATCTATATGCCACCTACAAGAGACTCATTTTAGACCTCAAGACACCTACAGATTGAAAGTGAGTTAACGGAGAACCATTTATCCTGCAAATGGACATCAAAAGGAAGCCAGAGTAGCAATACTTATGCCAGAAAAACTAGACTTTAAACCAAAGACTGACAAGACATGAAGAAAGGCACTATATCATAATAAAGGGGACAATCCAACAAGAATATCAAACAATTGTAAATATGTATGCACCCAACATGGGTGCATATATATATGTGTGTATATATATATATATATATATATATATAAAACAATAACAAACATAAAGGAACTAATTGATAATAATACAGTAATAGTAGGGGACATTAACACCTCACTTACATCAATGGACAGATTTAACAGAAAATCAACAAGGACACAATGGCTTTGAATGACACATTGGAACAGATGGATTTAACAGATATATTCAGAACATTCCATCCTAAAATAGCAGAATACACATTCTTTTCAAGTGCACATGGACATTCTCCAGAATAGATCACATACCAGGACACAAATCAAGCCTCAACAAGTACAAAAAGATTGAGATCATACCATGCATATTTTCTGACCACAAAAAGAAACTTGAAGTTAACCACAAGAAAAAATGTGGAAACACCACAAATACATAGAGGTTAAAGAACATCCTACTAAAGAATGAATGAGTCAGCCAGGAAATCAACAAAGATTAAAAAAAAAACACATGGAAACAAATGAAAATGAAAACACAACAGTCCAAAACCTTCAGGATGCAGCAATAGCAGTCCTAAGAGAGAAGTATATAGCAATGTAGGCCAATCTCAAGAAGCAAGAAAAATCTCAAATAGACAACCTAACCTTATACCTAAAGGAGCTAGAAAAAGAAAAGCAAATAAAGCCTAAAGCCAGCAGAAGGAAGGAAATAACAGAGATTAGAACAGAAATAAATGATATAGAAAATAAAAACAACAGAACCCATCAATGACACAAGGAGCTGGTTCTTTGAAAAAAATTAATAAAATTGATAAACCTCTAGCCACTTATCAAAAAGAAAAGAGAAAGGACTCAAATATATAAAATCACAAATGAGAGACAAGAAATAAACAACACCAAAGAAATACAAAGAATTATAAAAGAATATTATGAAAAATTACATGCCAACAAAATGCACAATCTGGAAGAAATGGATAAATTCCTAGAAACATATAACCTACCAAAACTGAAACAGGAAGAAATAGAAAACTTGGACAGATAACCAGCAAAGAAATTAAATCAGTAATAAAAAATCTCCCAACAAAAGTCCAGGGCCAGATGGCTTCACAGGCAAATTTTACCACACATTTAGAGAAGAGTTAGTACCTATTCTTCTCAAACTATTTCAGAAAACAGAAAAGGAAGAAAAACTTCCAAATTCATTCTATGAGGCCAGCGTTACCCTGATATCAAAACCAAATAAAGATACCACTAAAAAAGAGAACTATAGGCCAAATCCCTGATGAACATGGACGCAAAATTTCTCAATAAAATACGAGCAAATCGAATCCAACAGTACATTAAAAGAATCAGTCACCATGACCAAGTAGGATTTATTCCTGGGCAGTAATTGTGGTTCAATATTCACAAATCAATCAATATGATACACCCCATTAATAAAAGAAAGGATAAGAACCATATGATCCTCTCAAGAGATGCAGAAAAAGCATTTGACAAAGTACAATATCCATTCATGAAAAAAACCCTCAACAAAGTAGGTTTAGAGGAAACACACCTCAACAATGATAAAGGCCATATATGAAAAGCCCACAGCTAATAGCATCCCCAATAGGGAAAATTGAGAACTTTTCCTCTACGGTCAAGAACAAGATGGGGATGTCCACCTTCACAACTGTTATTTAACATAATATTGGAAGGCCTAGTCACAGTAATCAGACAACAAAAAGAAAGAAAAGGCATTCAAACTGGCAAGGAAGAAGTCAGAATTTCAATATTTGCAGACGGCATGATACTCTACAGAGAAAACCCAGAAGACTCCACCAAAAAAATTCTAGAACTGTTACATGAATTTAGTAAAGTCATAGGATACAAAATCAATATGCAGAAATCTGTTGAATTTCTATACACCAATCATGAAGCAGCAGAAAGAGAAATTAAGGAATCAATCCCATTTACAATTAGACTAAAACTAGTCAGATACCTAGGAAAAAACCTAACCAAAGAGGTAAAAGACCTGTACCTGTTACTCTGAAAACTATGAAACACTAATGAAAGAAATTAAAGATGACATAAAGAAATGGAAAAACATTCCATGCTCATGAACTGGAAGAACAAATATTGTTAAAATGCCTATGTTACCCAAAGCAGTCTACACATTTAATGCAATCCCTATCAAAATACTACCAGCCTTTTTCACAGAGCTAGAACAAACAATCCTAAAATTTGCTGGAACCACAAAAGACCCCCAATAGCCAAAGCAGCCTTGAAAAAGAAAAGCAAAGCTGGAGGCACAGCAAAGAAAACAACCAACAAAATGAAAAGGCAATCTCTGGAATGTAAGGAGATATTTGCAAATGACAATCTGATAAAAGGCTAATATCCAAAATATACAAAGAACTTATAAAACCCAACACACAAAAAACAAATAATCCAATTAAAAAACGGGCAGAAGAACAGATTATTTTTCCAAAGAATACATACAGATGGGCAACAGACACATGAAAAGATGCTCATCATCACTTGCCATCAGGGAAATGCAAACCAAAACTACAATGAGGTACCACCTCACACCTGTCAGAATGGGTAAAATCAACAACACAAGAAACAACAGATGTTGGCAAGCATGTGGAGAAAGGGGAACCCTCTTGCACTGTTAGTGGGAATGTAAACTGGTGCAGCCACTCTGGAGAACAGTATGGAGATTCCTCAAAAAGTTAAAAATAGAACTACCTATGACCTAGTAATTGCACTACTAGATATTTACCCAAAGAATACAAAAATACTAATTCTAAGGCTACATGCACCCTGATGTTTATAGCAGCATTATCTACATTTGCCAAATTATGGAAATAGCCCAAATGTCCATCAACTGGTGAATGGATAAAGAAGATGTGATATATATACACAATGGGATATTAGCCATAAAAAAGAATGAAATCTTGCCTTTTGGAATGACATGGATGGAGCCAGTATATCATGCTAAGTGAAATAAGTCAGTCAGAGAAAGACAAGTATCAGATGATTTCACTCATCTGTGGAATTTAAGAAACAAAACAAGCAAAGGGAGGGGGAAGAGCGAATGGTAAGCCAAGAAACAGAAGACACTTAACTACATAGAACAAACTGATGGTTACTAAAGGGAGGTGGGTGGGGAGATGTGCTAAATAGGTGATGGGGATTAAGGAGTGCACTTGTTGTGATGAGTATTGGGTGATGTATGTAAGTGCTGAATCACTAAATTGTATACCTGAAACTAATATTACACTGTAACGAACTGCAATTTAAATAAAAACTTAAAAAAAAAAAAAGTCAAAATTTAAAAGACCGTACAGCACCTGTCTGAGTAGTATAACTTGTAAATGTATTAGCAACTATTTTCCCCCGTTTTCCTTCAAAATCTTCATCTCCTTCTTCTTCAGAGGAAGAGCTAAAGTGTTCTTCAACAAGTTTTTTGGCTGCAGCTTGATTGGCCTTCTTGATTTCCTCAAATTTCCTTTGAGACATTAGCTCTGCTTAAAAGAAAAAAAAAATTAAGTTTCATTTCTGCAAGACAATCTCTAAGCACATAGATTTAAAAGTCACCCTTGGAGCATTCTATCTTACTATTATGCACAAAAAAAAGTATTTTCAAGTTTCTTAGCAAACAACTGAAGAGAATAATAACACAATGAAAACTTTCACTTTTGTTAAATATCCTGCTAAATGCAGCAAATTGTCCTAGAAACAGTGATTAACAAATCAATTTAAAAGTTATAAAGATATGATAAAGTATCAAAAAACTATTAACCTCAAAATAAGGATGTTAATAAAAAATTAAAATGGCATGTTTAAAAATAAATCATACACAGTGATTTTTGAGAGGTGGGAAACATGCCAACTGGGAGCACATCAGAATCAATTAAACTGGACGCTTTCCCAAACAATTCTCTTCCACACTACAGCCCAGCCTGGCCTGACCCACCAAAGATTTTGCACAAACAATATTCACTATATACCCATTATCTTTATAATCTGCTCTTAGAAAGGTCAAGGATTTTTTGCCTTTATTAAAATGTGGTCACAAAACATGTTTTGTGAATGTTGCCAATATGGAAAATGTGGTTCCTACAGCACCTTCATTCCAAAAGAAATGTTAAATAAATTCAGATTAGTTCTTCCACTATTCTCTTTAGCACTGACTGTACTTCTCATTTTTTTACTTGGTTAAATAATAACACAAAAAGAATTAGATTACTTCAGAGCATATACCCAACTCCTTAAGGGCAAGGACCAGGGAAATTTTCTTCAAGTACTTACTATTAAAAAACTCTTATGATCAGCAATCCTAGTTTTAAGAAAGGAGCCACAAACATACTGAAGTGATCTGAATTTATTAGTGCCCATATTGAGAGGATTTTAAATTCACTAATTAAAACTGTAAATTGCTGATTTAAGTTCACTTTATGCTTAAAACTGATGAGCCACTACCCAGATAAGCTTTCTTAATCTTGGTGGTGCATTTGTACTTAACGACGTTTTATCTTTTATTTCCCTCATGAAATGTTTTCCCTTTGTTGTTGCAGCCAGTTTAGTTGGGGATTATGCAGTATTTCAAGTAAAACTGAAAGAAAATGTATACAGGGCCTATATAGGAATCTTTTGCGTATTAGGAGAAAAGTAATGGCTATAAGATATATGGCTCAAAACTTGATATGCAGTAAGAGAGATGATAAATGTCATTGTGAGAAAACAGCACGTAAAGATACATTTCTTGAAAGGCTGAGTTAGAAGACATAATAAAAACATCCATAACCCTATCAACATATCCACATAAGATCATCTCAAAGAAAAGTGACAAAGCAAACTTCCTATATATTATTTCTTACAGACAAATCTCAATTATCCAGGTGAAGGATGCTTGCTTTTCTGCTATCCACAAAATCCAAGAAACTACCAAAACTGTTCTTGGTCTTCAACTTGCACATTTCACCACCACTTGTATCCTAAACTCATAACTGCTACCAGAGGGGAGGTGGGTGGGGAGATGGGTGAAATAGGTGATAAAGATTAAGGAATGCACTTGTGGTGATGAGCACCAGCTGATGTATGGAAGTGCTGAATCACTATACTGCATACCTGAAACTAATATAACACTGTATGTTAACTGTACTGGAATTAAAATACACTCAGTAACTCCAAGCTAAAAGAATACCACCTAACTTTAAAATTAGCTTAGGGAAAAAGCACTCAGAAGCTCAACTTGCTCCTCCCCTCAAAAAATATATTCAGAAAAATACATTCCAAATATTAAAATGATTTGAGGGATTATTCCCTTGGCCTCATGCAATCCTCCATTAGCATGGACAATTCAGAGTTGCCTGTGTGTTCTCAGGCTACACTAAAACACAGCCTTGGATGAAGGATAATGACATGCCAGAGGAGGCCACATCAGATACATCAGAAAAAGGACATGAAATTTGTGAATAGGAACCACAGTTGAGAAAAATGCCTCAAGCTCAAGGGCTTACCAGGCATATTCAATTAAAGTTACTAAACTAAGGCAATTTCGCAAAGATGGAAAAAGACAACTGGCCCCCAGGTAGGAGAGACCACGTGAAATGGAGTGCCTAAACCCAACCTAAACGGAATTTCTGGAACTGGCGGTTGCCCTGGGCAAAGCCACACACTCCTATTTTACAAAAAAAAAAAAAAGAAAGAAAGAAAGAAAAGAAAGTAACGAGATTTTTATGAGATTTTAAAAAGAAAAGAAAAACAAAACAAAAAACCAGCGGGCAACCAATTCAGATTTAGAGGATCGTGTTGGCCAAACCAAACTATAGGCTAAATCAGAACCCGGGGCCACAATGTGCAACTTTTGGTCTAGGCATTCAGCAGGCAAAAGAAGAATAAAGAGAAGAACACTGGACAAAGAAGTAATGCTGATTGATAGTAATTAAAATTAAGGTGAAAGAGGTATGCTGGGAATCTGCCTAGAATGCCGAAATGAGTAGCTTCCTTGAAGGTTTGAGAAGTGGGGGCAATAATAAACTCTCCAAGGAGAAGTGAATGAGAGCAAGGGCGGGGAGGCAGTTCTGACTAGTAAGTGCCTTAGTAGGAATCCAGGTGAAACCGAGGACGGGGAGCCTTTCTCACCACATGCTACGGAAGTCTGCAGTGCTTCAGATCCCGCGGGGCTGCGCCTGGCTGAACTACCTGCAGCCGCAGGGGTCGCGGCTCCTCTGGGGCTGGGGCCAGGTCCAGCAGCGCCCACTGAGCCCTTCTCTCGCCCTCCTCCGGCGCCGCGGAGATGGATTCCATTTCCTGAAGAAGGGGCCGCGGTGGCCCGTCCTCGGGCTCGGCCTCGGCCACCGGCCACCTGGCGCCAGGAAGCTTCCATTCCTGCAGAGGAAAAAAAAAAAAAAAAGAGGGGAAGGAGAGTGAGCGAAACGGGTGCCGAGGCGGGGAATCAGGGGCAGTGGCGGAAACCAGTATGAGGGGCGGAATGAGGAAGGTCCCCGCAGGGCAAGGACCGGGTTTGAGAAGGTCGCGGCCCTGTCACTAGGAGGGTGAGTCCCCGCAAAGCCCACGTTTTGGAGACGGACCGGAGAGGCAGAGGACTAGGCAGAGAAATGGACCTCAGGGCAAGGAGTACCCAGCTCCAGAGTGGGAGAGCCCGGGGAAAGGAAAGCGCCTCCTCAGTCTCAGGGGGAGCGCGGTGCGGATGGAAGTACAGACTGACCTCTCGGCTCCCGCCGGGAACCAACTGCAGTAGCGGACCCCAAGGAAATCTACGTCTCCTTACCGACGGCGCCCGCCCCCGGCGACTACAACTCCCAGAAGCCCGGATCCACTGCCCGCAGAACGCGTGGCATCACTGGCCACTTCCTTATCCGGGGGGGGGGGCGGGGTTAGCGAGAGGAGCTCAGAACGCGTGCGCCGACTTGGACCGAGTCTTCGGAAACTACAATTCCCGGCGTGCTGTGGGGCTTGGGCGGTACCGTCGCCCGGAGAAGGCGGAAGGTTGGGGAGGTGGGCGGACTGTAAGTGTTCTCGACTCCAGAGGATGCTGGGGCTTCCCTACGAATACCTTAAACCCATTTGTCAGAGTAGCCATAATTGACTGTCTTCCAGCTTTAACATTGACCGGGCTTTCAGGTGGCAGGAGGATTCTCACTGACCGAAATAAACAATGAAAATACTTCGGGGTCGGGGAAGAGGGAGGAAAAGCTGGGGAGTATTGCGGAAACGTGGCTGGAGTGGAGAAAGCGCCCTTAGGAATTGCTGAAGCGATGTAGAGGATATGTCTCTCATAGTTTGTATAGTTTACAATAAGGTTTTCCTGAGGCAGGCCGATTTTTACCTACGTGACAGCTCCCTGAAGTGGATTATATTACGGAAAGTAGTTGAGAGCCATGACCTAAAGCTGACTTTGCTGACTTTTCCAGTAAGATATGGATAAGTAAATAAATTTCAAAAAATTGGGGGTCTGTCCGGGATTGAGAAATGTATTGCTGTTTGGAACGACACAGTCTTTATACAACTCTTCAACTTAATTTCTCTACATTAACAATAAATACCTAATGTTTAGATAGCATTTGTTAAGTGCCAGGCACTATTCAAAGTGTCTCATGTATTAACTAGTTAATTAGTTATTCACGATAACACTATTCCCGTTTTACAGCTGAGAACACGAAGTACAGAGAAGTTAAGTAACCTCCCTTGCTCATATAGCTAGTTATTGTTATCATCGATACTATTTTTAAACATGATTTTCTTATTCAAAATCCTAGCACAATCAGAATCACAACTGAGTATGATTCCTGGCCTATATTTTTAAGCACCATGCTATATAATTACTGTATAAATGTAGTTAAGATTTACCTAAAAATTCCAGTTACTTTTAGAGGACCTAATAAGTCATATAACTCATAATCAGAATTTTCCCCTGCCATATTATACAATGAAAATTTATAATCATAATAATTACTTTGGAATCAGAAAGAATCTTATGTGTTCTCTGAATTAGGAAACTGTTATAGTATGACAGTAAATTTTTGCAGTAAAAAACTGTGTATCATGTAGAAGCATAGGTAAATTGAGAACGTTTTCAGAAGTGACCATTGCTGTTATTTTTACTTTGAAATTTTAGATAATATTTGGAAAAACAAGAGGGTTTTTTTGTGTGTTTATCAAAAGGGAACATGAGAAATATAATTAAACATTATAAAGATATAATTAAAATTATAAAGATTGATAAATATTGTGCAGTCCAATTAATTTTAATTCTTAAAAATAGTACTCAGAGGAATAGCTAAAAAAGGCTGACAATACCAAGTGTTGGCAACAAGAACTCTAATACTTACTGGTGGAAGTGGAAATTGGTTCAAAGACTTTCAAAAAATGTAGACAGTATCTACTAAAACTAAACACGACCTACTACTACAGCACCATGACCAAGCAATTCCACTTCTGTATACACACCTAAAAGAAATAAGTGCATAGTCCACAAAGACTCACATTTAAAGCAGCTTTATTCATAACAGCCCAAAACTAGAAACAACCTTAATGTCCAGGAGAATAGAATAATAAATGTGGTGTATTCATATAATGAATATATATATGTATGTTCATTATATATACGTGGGTGGATCTCAAAGACATCATATTAAGCAAAAGAAGCCAGACACAACAAAGTCCTTACTTGTGGTTCCAATTTCATGAAGTTCCTGAACAAAAAATAGAAGCCAGATTAGTACTTGCCTCTGATGGGGGTAGGAGGATTTTAACTGGGAGGAGGAGTGAGGTTTCTACCCATGTGGTGGAAAAATTGTATCTTGATCTGGATAGTAGTTTCACTTGTGTGTACACATGTAAAAACAAAAAAATATACTATTATGATTTGTGAGATTTACTATACGTATGATACACCTCAATTCTGAAAAGAATTCTAAAATAAATATAGAAAAAATAAGATATCTGAATACTTCCATTGTCTGGCCACTTGAAAAATGTGATTTAATTATATTTATTTGTCCATTACTGATATATTATGCTCATGTGGATTCTTTTTTGCCAGAGTATTCACACAAAATCCCCCAAATACATTTACCCTTGACAAATACATATATACTTAGGTAAACACTGTGCCAGTTATCAATTTATTGCCTCTCAGCTCCAATTCACCCTTCAATATGTCCTCTGTAATAAAGGACGGAACTCTTTCAAGCATCTCCTCTGAGAGCGCCACCTTATGTTTTCCCAGCAGAGGGCGCTGGAGAGACATTGCAGGAGAGAACTGTTTTGGTGGGTGTTTTCCTGCTACTAGGGGTTGGGTCAGCAACCTTGCAGCCTCTGCCTGCCCGGCAATTAACCTTCTGGCCAGACCTCTCAACATGGAAATTGGCCCCAAGGCCCCCTGCTCATTGCAGCGCCCTGAGCCACCATTTACTTTGCAGCCAACAGCTCCCATGCCCTACACCTGGCACCATTCTCTGTAGACCATGGCACAGGTCCCCTGTGCCCCAGCCTCCATTCTCTCTGCAAGCCCACCTCACTGGTATCTGATCAGCTGCACTCCAGAGGGACTGCAGAACATCTGTGTCCAGAACAAACCAGCAAGCTCCTCTGCTATCCAATGAGTTGAACTATACCTTCTCCAATAAGATCTGAAACCAGCCTTGGGGGAGGGGAGGCCCTTCCAAGCTTCTCCTTCTTTGGATACTCTCCCTCAGCCCTAGAATACCATATATGGTTTCCTTATAGTCATTCTTTTATCAAAGTTTATTCATTCTTTGTATTAAACTTAACCCACTGTGTAGTTTCTATTCCTGATTGGGCACTAAGTGATATGGGCACTGTAAACATTTTAGATCAGCTTTCCTTGACATACTGGATATGACCCAATCAAAGTGACAGCAACAACAACAACAAAAATCCTCTGGAAAACAGGGTGGAAGTTCCTCAAAGAGTTACAAATAGAACTACCCAGGGCATCTGGATGGCTCAGCCGTTAAGTGTCTGCCTTCGGCTCAGGTCATGATCTCAGGATCCTGGGATTGAGTCCCGCATCGCATCGGGCTCCCTGCTGAGCAGGGAGCCTGCTTCTCCCTCTCCCTCTGCTCCTCCCCCTGCTTCTTCTCCCTCTCTTTCTCTGTCAAATAAATAAAAGCTTTAAAAAAAATAGAACTACCCTACTACCCAGCAACTGCACTACTAGGTATTTGTCTAAATGATACAAAAATAGTGATTTGAAGGGGCACATGCACCCCAGTGTTTATAGCAGCAATGTCCACAATAGCCAAACTATGGAAAGAGCCCAGATGTCCATCGACAAATGAATGGATACAGAAGAGGTGGTGTATATATACATACACAATGGATTATTACTCAGCTATCAAAAGAATGAGCTCTTGCCATTTGCAACAACATGGATGGAACTAGATGGAATGGTAAAGGAGAATGCGGTGTTGGCTGAAAGCAGATACAGGGCCAAGGAACTACAGGTCAGGAACTAGCATTAGGAACTAATGCTAAGTGAAACAAATCCATCAGAGAAAGACAAATGCCATGTGATTTCACTCATATGTGGAATGTAAGAAACAAAACTGATGAACATAAGGAAAGGAAGGAAAAATAAAATAGGATAGAGACTCTTAACTCTAGGAAACAAACTGAGGGTTGCTGGAGGGGAGGTGGGTGGGAGGATGGGGTAACTAGGTGATGGGCGTTAAGGAGGGCACTTGATGTAATGAGCACTGAGTGTTATATGCAAATGATGAATCACTAAATTCTACCCTGAAATTAATAATACACTATATGTTAACTAACTTGAATTTATATTTTAAAAAAGGAAACAAAGGATGGGACACAGAGTGCAAAATATACCGCCAAAATAAGTAAAAAAAGATTTTCTGCCATATGTAGGATCAGAGGAGAACTAGAAAAATTAATAATCAGATTGCTTTCCTAGTCAGGTTAAAATGTATATAACTTTAGGGAACTGATTCCTTTTTTCCTTTTGTTAGTAATAATCAGAATTGAATAATAAAAATAGTACTATATAATATGAATTTCATGAAAATGAAACTAATTTTTTTACCTTTATCATTTTACTTTTTCTAGGAAAACCTTCATAACAGAAACAAAATCAACCATTTATTCATATTTAATGTAAGCTGTTTTCAAATATTCAGCTTAATCATCCATCCATCCATCCATCAATCGTTGAATCCAGTGGATATCTAATACTGTCAGGTACTGGACGTATGTACTCAGAGATGGGAGGGATTCACTGTAAGTAAAGTACCAGGATAGGAGTGAAGAGGCTCATGAAGACCCTAAGAACCGAATGAATTGTTAAGGTCAGGATAAGATTTGAACAGGTACAAAGATTTGAAAGATGCAATCTGAGTGGTAGGGACACAGCATAAGCTCAGGTTTAGAGTGAAAATAAACATGGCACGTGTTTTGAACCAAAAAAGAGAAAATTCTGTTGAATCTTAAGGCAAGGGTCATAAATAAGGCTGGAGAGCCCTTGAAAACAGAAGGAGAAAAATCTCAATTGGCAGTACGTAACCACTATGAGGTTCAAGAAAGGGGAAATGATATCAAAAAAGGAATGGTCTTTTTTAAAATCTGATTTTGTTTTTAAAAGATCACCATGGCAACTCAATGGAAATGGACTATTGGGGTAAGGAGAGCAAGAGTGGAATTAGACACTGGTTAACAGTATACTGTAGGAATTCCGGTGAAAGATGGTGGTATGGATGAGCAATGGATGTGATGCATTACTGTCACATTCAGGATG